TGGTCGGCAGTGCGAGTAGCGACCAAAAGACGAAGAAGGACTTTCCAGCATTGGTCATGGGCACTCGGTCACCATATCCGATGGTGGTGAGCGAGACAAAGCAAAGGTAAAAGGAATCAAAGTAAGACCATTGGTCTTGGTAGTGTCTTTCCGTAGACCAGAACACGAGTGCACCGATAAGCCACAGGACAATCAAGGTGCCAAAAGACGCTGATAGATCCATCCACTGCCTCCAGGCCAGCGCGCGGTCTTGGATATTGCGCATGAGTTCGAATTCAACCTTGCGACGTTCGTATTCGTTGGTGACATGAGGGTTTAACGCCGTCACCTCGCCAGACATGGGATTTAGTATCGTGTCGTTGCCCGACTTGGTCAAGGTACGGACGAGTTTCCTTCTAGTCTTCTCTTCCATTCGAATAGCAACGCGCCTCCGTGCACGATCGAGGATCATGCTGCGAATAGACGCAATGACTAGACCAAGGCTGATGACGCCTATTAGCGCATACGGTAGCACCAGGGCTCTTGCCAAGGGCTTTGTGGTGGCAAAATCACCAAATCCGACGGTGAACAGAGTGATGTCAGCCCAGTACACGCCATCGAGGTAGTTCCAGCCTTCAATGGTGCTAAAAATGAGGGCACCTAGGAGGAGGTATGTGAGAAAAAGGATGGTCTGGAGCATCAGGGTACGCTGGCTGTTGGTCAGAGCGAAGCTCTTGCTGAAATGGCCGGTCGATGCGCCCCAAAAGGTAACGGTCATGAACGAGGCAACGACAAAGTAAAGAATGGCAGCCCAGATGCCATAGTAGAAAGCCTGGGACATGACGTATTCTTCAATGGGGTTATCCAATCCCTGGCGCAACGGTTCAGAGGCGGTAGCGCAGAGCGAAATGAGGCAGAAAGAAGATATGTACCTGGGAAAGTCAGTCTGCATGGCTCAAAGCAATTCGGGAGACGCACCATCCAACAATGGTGATTGGCTGTGCAAGGGTAAATTTCACTCGTCTAGCCATGTTGAGAAGAAGAAAGACATTGGAGACAAGCGCCATTGCCAACTGAATGGCGTTGACGGCAGTAAGCCTGTCAGAAGCGTTAGAAAGCCATAACCATGTGTTGGATTAAGCAAGATACCATGGCGGATCGAGTACAGACGTGGCAGACTGAAAGTCCGTACCTGGCGGCATGTATTGGCGCCATGGTCTACCCAGAGCACAAATACTGAATGCCGACGCTACCGGCCCCAACGTGCCAGCAATCATGGGAAAGGCAGAAGCAATCAACCACCATCGTCTGTAGAGACATAAGCATGTATACGTAGTTGGCATTGAAGCACAGCTAGTTGGAGGAGCTTACGTATGTTGGAGATTTTCTTCTTCATTTGGTTCGCTGGCCTCGGCTCTTGGGGGATCCCCGGGCTCTGGGGCAGCGGCGCCATCACCAGAGCCCCGTTTGTTAGAGCTAGAGCTGCTGGGCGGTGTTGAAGACGCGGCAGTCATGGTGGGAGGTTGGAGCCTAGAAGACGCTATCTTGGTTGCTTCATCCTGTTATGATTGATGCATGTCATCTCGCAGTCTGTGCCGAATAATTTTGCGAGTCGGGGGCAGCGATTTGATGCATGAAAGAAAGTTTTAACGGCGAGACAGATTCCTGGGGCAGGCACGTTCACGTGTGACGGGACTTGCCTGGTTTGGGCCACACAAAGTTGAACTACAGATGATGATCCCTTCGGCGGATCCGAGTATACCGAATTCTATTTTACTCTTTTCCGGTACATATAAATCAGTGCAAGCAAATGACTCGGCGACGATACTTGATGCTCCCGACTCGTAAAATAGGGACTTTTCAGCCATGATGCTATTCAACTCCTGAAACGACGTCCCCAAGCGTAAATGCGGATCCATCACAGAAGTAAACCTACCAACATCTCAAGTTTTTAATAAATTCGATTAGTCTTTTATTAATTAGTCTAATAATTATATAATTATTTAGCAACTTCAGCGCAACGTCTGGCTGTTTTAGTTTCAGCCCACAGTCCACTGAAAATTGCAATCACGTACTAGCGCCCCCACACCAGCCACACCTGCCACGCTGCCACACGGCCACTGCCACAGCGGCCTCTGCTCCAACAAGGTCCCTGGATGCCTTCGCCTTCAATTCCCCTACGACGCCAGATGGCACTATGCGTAGATGGCTGCCGCTGCATCGTCGCCACTTGCACTCCAATCCGTCTTTTCGACGTGTATTCAGTACCAATAATGCCATTGACAGCGTAGATATCCGCTGTGGCTCCTCTGGTCACGTCACTGTCGAGTACGTTTTGCGCGCGTCTTCATCCCCGCCTGCTGCTGACATGCCGTCGATAGCTTGCACAATCTCACTAATCTTCAGCACGATGAGCCTATTCTGATTCACTTTCCTCCGCTTCCGGCTCATGCTGCCTCGTCGTTCAAGCTGCCAGACTTTCTCAAGGAACTTCCCGTCGCCAGCATCCGCTACCGATGGGACGGCCTCGCAAGGTCGCTCCCGTCACTGCTGGATCGTGACCGGCCGTCTCCGGCGCCGTGGCCAACGCCTGTTCACGATGCCTCCTTTGCCTACTCGTGGCTGACTGAGAATTTTGCGCCGCAAACTTGTGCCCGTCGCGGCGTCTACGTCTATGGCTCCTTTCTCGGCGCCAGCCTCGCCACATCGCTGGCCCTGACCGAAGCGCATCCCCATGCCCGGTTCGCCGTCCGCGGTTTCATGGCTTACAATGGCATATACAACTGGACCATGTTTCTCCCTGACCACCGCGTCAACCGCCCGACGACACGCGCCGGCAAAAGCATCATGCCGCCGCAGCCCCGGGAAGGCTCTCATATGCACTTTTTGCAGGAGCAGATGCCTAGTCTTTTCGGCAAGCCTGCCCACTTGTTCGACGCATTTGCCAGCCCGAGCCTCATGTTTCACTCACCGGGCCTCCTTATCCCGACGTCTTTTACCATGACAGTCGCCGAGGCTGCGGCAATTGACGCCATGGTCGGCAAGGTGGCGGACCCAGCTTTCGAGGTTAAGACGCCACGAAAGTCGCGTCTCGTCTTTCCGCCACGCAAGTCCACTCTCAAAATTCCCGAGGCATTGCTCATGTATGACTCGGACCCAATTCCGCTGACTGCATCCGGGAAGCCATCCAAGCGCAAGCCCAGAACCAGCGGCAACAGCTTCCAGGCACAAGCGACTGAGCTTGCGGAGCTCATGCGTCGCAGCGTTGAGCTTGTTGAACTCAAAGAGCGAGAGAAGTGGGATGACGATATTGAAGATATGGCTTATGAGGCGAACAGACGCGTGCAAATATTCGACATTGGCCAAGGCTCCCCAAGCTATGAGATGAGCGCTGCTGGCCAGGAGGCAGCGTTGACATGGCTCGGAAAGGAGACTTAGATGAGTAGATGCTTTGGTAAATGCGTGTATAATACAAATGTTGCATGTATAATAATCGACGGTACATAACTTTATACTCGGTGCAGTTCAAAGACAGGCCAAAAATATGGCGACAAAAGGGAGAGGGGCATACGGCGAACAACGCATTATTATACTAAGCTCATGTCTCAGTAGCAAGAAACTGCCTCTCTATCTTGCCCATCTATGAGGTAGACGTATAAGTAGAGGCCTTGCATCTGTAGCGGCCTGCTCATCAATTTGCAGCACCATCGACAGCTAATTTTACATTTCAGTACTTGTATCCTATCAATCCTCTAGACACTAGAATACTCTGAGCTACCATTTTAGTTGCCGCCTTGGCACACCTTGCCAATATCACCTTCGGTGCCGCCGCCGCAGCCTCTGCGGGTGACCCAGCCACTCCTTGTTGCAGCATCGAGAACTGTGACTTTGACCAACAATGCGTATATCATCTTCAAATGTTGATCGCGCGAAGTTGATGAAGGCTGAGGCGCGTCACTATCCCACAAAGGCAAAGATGTAGCTATTAACCAACGTATCTTCCAGTGACGGCAAAATTATAGGCTCGACCCAAAACATCTCAAAACACTCGTCTTCGACAACATCATTGAGTCGACTGGTAAGATGGGAAAGCTTTCATGGCCTCCGACGAAGGCGCGGGGTTGAGCTAGGGGATCAAAGAGGAAGACCCTAAGTACAACCTTGCACCGAAAGCCGCAGATCAGGCAGTTAGTATTCCAGTAAGCATCCGGCCGACGTTCGGGAAATTGATGATTCTGAGAAGAATTGGGTACTAGTAGCAACGTGCGCACACTTGATCAACTTCTTTTGGTCACAAGAACACCACGGCTGTGTTGGCTGACTGCGTTTGTAAGCGCCGACTGTTGGTGACAATGTTTCAATTTATGCACGGAAATTTTGCCAGTGATCTCGGATTCCACGCAAACGTAGCTTTTTCTTCTGTTCTGTTCCTCCATTGCGGTGACCAATCCCGAAAAGTGGTGCTCATATCTACAATAGTCATTGACACGCAAAGGACTGCTCGAGTAGTCGCTCGGCGGCAGATTTGCTTTTCTTTTCTCATCTCGAACCCAGTGTCTTGTGTGCGCTTTCTGGTTGATGTGCTTATCTGGTGCAAGTCCCTTTCATCTCTGCATGTGCTATGTGTCAATGAAAAGGTTCATTGGCCATCCCACGCCATGAACAGTCCGCACAGGTGTGTTCATCATCCATCCTACACCGAATATCGTGAGATAGACATGGACAGTAGTCTGGCAAAAATTCTCCAAAAACCACAGAAATTGCACGTCTATGCAGCTATCACGCGTCCCCTTCCAAGTCTTACCCTGCAAGGTTTAAGAAAACAAAACAACATCCCAGTAATCCACACCTTTTCAAGTCACCTAAGTCCGACCAGTGCTCAAAATCTATTCCAAGGACTACTTGCGGAATCGTTTCTGGAGCGGAATATTTCTTGACCGCCTCAACTCTGGGCCGTCAATGATCATCATCTTCATGTCTCGAAATAACGAGCCGACTTAGCAAATAGTCTTAACAAACTTGGTCTAGTGGTCTAGTGGTATGATTCTCGCTTTGGGTCCACATATCCAGTCTGCGAGAGGCCCCGGGTTCGAATCCCGGCTGGACCCCAGCTTTTTGTTAGTCCTATTCATCCTTTTTGCCAAGCCTTTGTCTCGACCGATGCGTGTCCTCGTAATCTGTACCTCAGTTTCAAAGCCAATCTCGACCTTGCGGGTGCTCCTGCTCATCGCAGTGAGAGGGAAGCAGCGCGATCGCATTATTGGGCGACCCGCCCGTGAGCCCATTTAGGCAAAGTAATACAGGTCATTGATTGGCCAGGTTGCTCCTGTCTGGAGAACATGATTGGGCACACCATACTTTGTGGCTGGCAGCTGCGCGGCATCGTTATATCAAACGGCTGGAATTAGCCTTTCAGTCCAGCGCTTACCAGCTTTATTTTGTCCAATTACTCCGTAGTTATTATAACTGTTGTTCCGAGGACTCAAAGTGGCTACGAGAACACCAAATACTGGTAAAGCCAGGCATGAACTAGCCACGGTAGCGTTGGTGTGCAAACGGAGCACTGCCATGGCCTGTTGATGTGAGTGGTAGACGGACTATGCTCGACTGAACAGACTGCTGCTTGCCAGAATTAAGTCAGAATTCTCTGATACCTGACATGTCGAGCTGTTGTATCAGCTGGACATTTTTGGGGCATTATATTATCCCTAGTGTGCACCAGCATGCAGCTGGGCATCATGCCCCATGTCGCAAAACGCCCTCGCGGGTACACCAAAGACGCTGGGGCGGGGCCGATCGTCTGAAGCCAGGATGGCTGCCGCTAGTTCATGTAGACCGACGGGGACCCTGATTAGAATAAAAAGCGGCCACCGGATAATCTGATTGCAAATGTTCTCATTCTCTTCAACCTGCCTGAAAACGCTGGCTGCCGATTTATGTGAGTGAATTGTGATATGGTTGGCCATCAAGGCGGTGGTACATGGTGCCACCCTACTAACTAGTGCGTGGCTTCCGTTTGGGCGTGAATGGAAAGAGGCAGGTAACGTGCAGGCTGCCTCTTCCTGGGCGGAGGCCCGACATTCATCCTTCCCTTGCTTCCTAGTATTTCTGGCAACTTTTGTCTCTGACAACATCAGCAGCTCCAGAGTACTATCCGACATTTTATTCGCTCCAAACGCTATTCCAACATCAACACAGACGTCCGGACACTTTCGACAAGACAAACGCACCGTTAAGATGGGTGGCATTCGTGAGTCGCGGTCGCGCGCAGCTTGCCTTCACAGCTGTTACTGACCCCCGGGATGCATAGCTTTTGGCGCTCTTGAGAACCTCAAGAACAAGGTTCAGGACATAATCAAGAAGAAGTTGAACAAGAACAAGGCCGAGAAGCCCGCCGCGACCGAGACTACTGCAGTTGCTGCGGCCCCTGCTGCAGGTGACGCCACCAAGACGGAGGCCACGGCTCCTGCTGCGCCCACTGATGCTGGTCCTTCGACTGCGCCTGGCGCAGCTCCTGGTACGTTTTGCCTCGCATTGTGCCGTGACTACTGATAAGTACGCCAGCTGGCGATGGCTTAAGCTAATAAAGTGGACGTTGCAGCTGTCGAAGCCCCGCAAGTCACCGAAGCTCCCAAGGACGCTGCCGCTGAGGCTCCTGCAGGTATGCCAATATTTGTGGACGGCAAAGGCTGATGGCGAATACTGACAAGATACAAATGTAGTTTCTGCTGAGCCCGCTGCCGTTCCCAACGCCGCCCCGGTTGTTGACAAACCCGCCGCTACCCCCGCCCCCGGTGCCACTACGGCCTAAGCCGGCCATCAATCTCGATATCATGGTCCATGCGCCACGGCAGTGTCTGGGCCCATGACGACGAGGTGCAGCTGACTATAGCGCCGCCGTACTTTGATAGCCCTTCTTTTCATGTCGTTGCTCTTCATGTCAGTGTTTTTGATTGCGAGCTACTGGATACCCCGCCACCCTGCAGTGCCACGATGCTCTGCGCGTTGGTATAATGAGTTGTCTCGTCTGCTATATTCCCACTAGTTATTCTTTTACTTTTCTTTTTTCAGAAATCCTTACTACTCTACTCTCAACAGAGCAATTTTTAATTTTGTTTTTTTAATCGTAGCCCTGGCTACTTGGCCCATGGTGCTTTCGTTGGTGGCATCCCGCCCAGTTCTTCACTTGGTTGGGGTCCGGGCCTTTGTGTCGGCGCTGGCATGCGGGCTGTTGGTGTGACTGTGGTTCCAGAAGTTGGCGACACTCTCGATGTCTGGGCCCATGGCGCTGCTGTGCCTCCGACAGGTGCGACTGTCGTTGATGAGGCAGGTGGTGTAGCAAGGGTTTGCGCCTTGGGATCTTTTTGCCACGAAAAGAGTGAACCAAAAGCAAAGTGTTGTACGACAGGAAATTTGGACAGTACCTCGGCGTTGTACATCTTGATCATGCCTTTGTTGATCTTGCCCCAGCCATCTTTTACGCCCGAAATGTCAAACAACATCGGACTGTGCTCCCAAAAAGGGCCTTTTTTTATGTCGTTGATGAAACCAATGGCGGAAAAGTACATGTTTGTTTGGCGGTTATCCTCGACAATTTGTGGCTTGATGATATCGCCCGTCTTGGGCGCGCCTCTAACGGAACCTTCCAGCGGCATGGGGTCATTCTCGTCAATGGGTCGGGTCAGCTGTCCCGAACCAAATATGTATGGTACAAAGGCGTGGTCGTCCAGACCCCACACTCCGTGTGAGCCTGCTGGCTCCAACGTATATGTAGTGATGAGCTTTCGAACAAGCGCCAGATATCTACCCCGCGTCAGTACATACGCCGGGCGTTGAGTTGGAGGTGCTTACGGTTCAATGATGGAGAAGACAATCTCCCTTTCCACCTCGGCCTCTTCCTGTTCCGTCTTGAAATGGCCGAGTTTCCATAGACACCCGATAAACGCCACAAAGCTAAGCTCATGGCCCGTGCCGTAGTCGAGACGCTGGGAGCTGCCAAAGGCGCCCAGCAGATAGCTCTTGATTTCCTCGCGCGCTGCCTCGCCGCCCGCCGCGGCGATCGTCTCCCCCAACACGCCCGCTTCCAGCATGGCATCCAACCTGTCCTCCAGCAGCGTGTGCCATGTGCGGAAGCTCAAATTACCGAACCGGCGCGGCCCCGGTGCGGGGGGTGCTTGGTCGATGAGGCGCTCAATGTCGGCGAGCAGCTCCTGCAGCGCCACAACGGGAGCTCCGGGATGATTTTTGGCTGGTATGATGAATGTCTGTGGTACGGGTGTATCTTGGCGGCGGCGCGGACACACGGCGTGGTTGAGCTGCATGATGAAGATGCCAATATCGCGGTAGGCCAGGCTGGTGAGAAACTCGGACACGTCGCCACTCTCGTGGATGCGCTTGACGGGCTTGATAAATTCTGGTAGGGCGGTGCGGTCTAGGACCGCGAGCCGGGTGAGTGCAGTAGCCATGGTTTTTTTTGGCGGCCTTTCACGCGATGGTCGTTGATGAAGAGTGGGAGGTTGAGCAAGTCGTAAGTGATGGTGCGTGGTTAACAGCTATCTCATGGTGGGTTCTCTGTTAGTTATAGTTAGTCATCGCGGCAATGAAGCACCCGACATGCTTTATAGAGGCAAGGACGTATTATTCCTGATTGCAGACTAGTTTCCTTCGAAGAAGAGATTGTTCTTTTTGAAGTTGTTTTCCTAAATGTTTCGCATTGTCTAATGACGCGCGCACATGCCCTGGCATGGTTGCCCGTTTGCACAATGTGGGTAGGTACTAGTTATCTCCTCACTTCTGGCCTCCATCTCTCAACAGCACTGTCTCGAACAAGTATCTCGTGCAAATGCAGAATATCGCAATTCCATTGAGGTGAACTAAGCAAGATATTGGTCTATTTCGAAATGCCTGGTCCAAACCCGTATCCGCAGCATCCCATACCATTTCCTGGGGCGGCAAGCAGCAGCGGCTCTTTCCAGTCTCGCATGCCATCACCTCATTCCCACGACCGAGAGCTATATCCTGATAATGGGCCAAAAGGTTCAAAACGACGAAAGACTACTCACGATTCTTTAGTCTCTTCGACTCCTGCTAGGCCGTCTGCAGTACAGCCCGAGCCACGTTGCATCCGACTGCCACAGCTGCGTTCGGAAAACAAGCGCCGGCCGGCTTATCAGGCGGAGGCTGCGACGTACACGTATAAATTTGCGCAAGATTTAACTACGGGTGATGATATTATTGAGCGCGATACGACAGTTGATTGTTTCGGTTGTGAATCCTCTGAGCAGGCTGACAATGCTGAGCCTGTCCCACGCCTTCCGTGGCAAGTGCCAGGATCACTTAAGAGGCAGCCAGATTTTGAGATAAATGGCCGAACTCAGGAAAAAAGCAAAGAATTTATGTCAAATGATCTCAAGGATAGAAGCTATTCGTATGACATTGAGAGTCGCAATTTGTTGTCACGCGCTCCGAATCGAGACTCTTCCGCGGGACTCTTTAGCATAAGCGACCACGGGAGCACTACGAGCATGGACACAAGCCTACCTCCGGAAGGGTGCGAAGATAGTAATTGGGAGACAGACTCAGTAACAGAGGTTAGAAGTACGAGACGGCGACAACCATCAACCCAGCTAGGCACCACGCCTAACTCTGTTCGACACACCAACCGCGCGTTGTCACTTACACCACCCGAGGAGCAGGGAGTGGACAATGAAGAGACCTCTGTACCATTATTACGACGATTACCCACAAAAAAGAAGTTGGTGTCAACGGAAAATGAAGAAACCATTGTCGGGACTCGTCAGCCAGAAGCCGAGCCTGGGTGCCAGCCTTGGTCCAGCCATCAATCACCATCAGCGGAGTTTATTGACAGCGATGTTTGGCCCATAAGTACAGGGGAAGAGGAACCGGACTTACAATATTCAATTGCAGATGAGATTCTGGGTATGCATCAGCTCATGAGCAAACCGTTTTGGGCAAACGACCAAAGGTGGCTTGCCAACATCTCATGCCCTGTACCACAAAGTCGACCCGCTACCCCGTACTCGAGTGCCATCTTGAAGGATACAGCAGGTCTGATCAAAACTATTGAATGTATCAAGGCAAGAGACGG